GTCCTTGAGAAAGTCAAGACTTGTTGAATGAAGGACACAGCTGAAGGTTAGGAGATAAGATGTTTTCCACGGGCAAAACAGAATCTGGGTGAATATCCAGATCTGCTAACAAAAGATCAACCGTATCTGTTATCAGCACGCTGCTGTAACAAATGATCACAAACATAAAGAATTTGAAAAGATTTTCTCCCCTTCTCAGGTTGTTTGCACACTTTCTCTGAGGCGCACAGATGCCTTTATTTAAGAATCTGAGTTACTGAAATGGGACAGATATATAGGGAAAAGGTGTAGAATTGAAAGTTGAGAAATAATCACTCACATTTATGGTGAATTGATTACCAACTGATAGATGTGCTTTTGAATAAAATATTCAAACACCAAAAAGTTAAATGACCAGTCAGCAAATTGTATTATAAGCCTAGTAATATTTAGAAACAATTCACTTCTCATTTTATTTCTGGGATCTTTCTTCCCCCTAGAAAGAAGCAAAGATATGCACAAACTTTTATGTCCAATTTTTGTTTTTGCTTTGGTTTTTAAAGTCGCCTAAGAAACTATTGCCTAACTCACATTCATGAAGACATATCTCTTCGGAGAATTTTATAGTTTTAGCTCTTACACACAAGTCTTTGATCTATTACTTGTGAGATTTACACATGTAAACTCAATTCTACTACCTCTCTTTGTCCCTCTTGTTGAAAGACTATTCTCTCCTCACTGAATTGTCTTGCCACACTGGCTGCTATTATTATTATTATAACTTTTGGCATTTTTTATACTTTACTATGTATTAACAACTGACAATGTCACAATGAATTACTTGAAGCCATATCTTTGTGCACATCTAGGCTTTTATCTAGGTAGGGGAAGATTCCAGAAACAAAATTGAGAAGTGAATTGTTTTAAAATACTACTAGGCTTTGAATACAATTTGCGGACTTCTAGTTTTTTGATGATTTGAACATTTGATTAAAAAGCACATCTATCAGCTGGTAATCAATTCACCATAAATGTGAGTGATTATTTCTGGACTTTCTATTCTATACCTCTTTTCTATACATCTGTCCTATTTCAGCACTCACATTCTTAAGTATTGTAACCATGTAGTAAGTTTTGACATTGGGAAGAGTAAGTTCTACAGTTTTGTCCTTTTTTATTTTCACCAGTCTGATCTCCTTGAGTCATACTAATGTAAGCCAGTAATACCTGTTTTAAATATTTTCATTTCGGATGTTTGTTAATTTCTACCAGGAAGGCAGCTGGGTATTTGTTAGTGATTGCTTTGACAGGTAGCACAATTTGGGAGTACAATACTCAGTCTTCTAATTCAAGATTATCTAGGTCTTAGTGTCTTTCAATTATATTTTGAAGTTTTGCATTTATTGGATTACTTTATTCCTAAGTAACTATTTTTTGATGCTATTGTAAATGAAAATTTTAAAACCTAGTTTCATTGAATTTTTGGATTGTTTATTGCTATAGATAGAGTTTTTTTTTATTTTGGTTACCCTTTTTTTTTGGTTTTTTGGGTTTTTTTGACCTTAGGTTATGTCATCTGCAATCAAAAACAGAGTTAATATTCCTTTCCAATTTGGACAACTCTTCTTTCTTTTTCTTGCCTAATTACTTTGAGTAAGTTTTCTAGTACACCGTTGAGCAGAAATGGTGATGGCAGACATTTTTATCTGCATTTCCACATCTATAACTAAGACCCTATTTGCTGAATTGCGCAGAGAAAGCAGGTTCAAATGCAGGTCGGTCTGCCCTGGAGATGAACATGAGCATACCTCGCTTCAATCCTTCTCCTTTCAGATGGCATAAAATATTTATTCACTTTCTATTTTGGTTTTGGGAGGGTAAATGAGAATATGACAAGCCCCTTAAAAATTAAATACTATGTAAATTTATAGGCCAAAAAACTATGAGGCATGATTAGGGCAAACTCATAATTGGGAATGAAACCCCCTGGGGTCCAGGTGCCATTCCTGGAAGACACAGAACATGCCTGCTGGCCTCGGGGGGCTGTGAATAAACCCATCTACTGGTTTGAACCCCTTTTGATTAGGAGTTCTGCTCAATCGTTCTTTTTATACCTTGTCTTCATAAATAAATTAGTACCCCAATTAATGTAAAAGTAGGTTGTTAAAGGATTTCCCCCTCGGGCCAATAATTTTCTTGCTCTGGAAAATGAGAAAAAAAAAGGGGTCAGAGCACTTTATTTCTTTTATTTTTTATTTTTGCTGGAAATTCTGCCTGGATGTGGCTACATGATGGTTATAAGCCGTGAGCGCATCTGTGGTGGAAGCCTGGGTCGCCAAGCAGCAGAGCTGTTTCTGGGGTTCTGGGCCCCCCACCAGGAGCCAACCTGGTGGTTATACTTGCTGGGAGTACTTGGATGTGGCTTAACATTGCATCTAATTCTTAGAAAGTGAAGTGTTCTGGGCTGCTTTGGACTGCTAAGGCAAAATATCACACAGAGGGTAGTCCATAAAGAAGAAAAACATTTTTCACAGCCTGGAGCTGGAAACCCAAGAATCATGCGAAGGCAGGTTCACCAAGGTCTGTTTTCTGGGTCCTCACAGGGCAGAAGAGGGTGGAGAACTCTTTGGATTGCTTCTAGGAGTTCCACACCCCCATCCCTTTCGTGAAGGCTCTATCCTCGAGGGTAACCTAGTGCCTCCTGTGGGCCCCTCCCCTAAATACCCTTACCCTGGGGCCTAAATACCCTTACCCTGGGGACTGGGTTTCAACATATAAACTAGGGGCACACACATTCCGTCTACAGCAACGGGGAAGCCCCAAATCTGGTAACTGCTTAATGTCTTAATGTTTGCAGCAGTCCATGCTAAGCCCTGGGGTATGTGTTTTCCAGAAAGCATCTCCTTTGGTCCCCACATGGTAGAACCATTAGTAACAGTTTCTACTTGAGAAAACTGAGGCTTAGAGGGTCTAGAGACATCAGGGTTTTCCTTTTCTACCCAAGGTTTTCCCTGTACCTTGTTTTTTGTTAATAGCACCTCTTTCTTTTGTAGAAATTTCCTGCCCATTCCCTGTAACTCTGGTTTCAACTTCAGGCCCTGCCAAGCTGATCAAGTACCCTCAGCTCAGTAATTTTGTGATGACAGAGCGAAAGGGGAGCTTAATGTGGGTTTTATATCCAGATACTGAAAGGGAAGTTTTCTTTGTTCATTCTAGGGTCTTGACTTGCAAAGATGGAAGTCTCGACCATAATCCTCTCTTCCATTGCAGTCTGGAAGAATCCTACCTGTAATATAATAAACCAACACACTAGGACTGTTAAAGCCAAGAGATCGAGAATAAGGATGAGATTTTTTGAGTCTCTGATTCATTTCTAGAGTGAGATAATAACAAATTAATTTTACTTACCTGTTTGAGTTAGTTTTATCATTTGCAAATAAGAAGGTTAACTAACTTACCCACAATTATGCAGTTAAAGAGGCTTGCATAGTGGACTGTAAGTTGATGCCCATTTTATGCCAGTGCCAAACTTTGTTTCTCTTCAATGTCTTGGAGCCAGATACTTTGTTAGTCAAGTGACAGAAATAAAATGTATGAAATGATGCACTTGATCACAAATCCTAAGGATTAAAATTCATGCCCTTAACTATGAAGAACAAAAGTACACATCTATTCCAAGGGGAAATACTTTATTTCATTTTCATTTCTTCTAGAATAAATCACCGTAGAGAATAACATAAATCTTAGGAGTGAACAGAGTATTTCCTGTGAGCTAGGGTGTCAGTATCTTCATAGAATATGAATGATCTGCTCGAGCCCGAGACTGACTGCCCGTGGGTCCTGTGTAGACTAAGCGCTTGAAATGTGCGAATGAAGCGCAGCTCGGTGATCAGAGCGTGACTCGTGTCTTGTTTTTCTGAACAATCTGGCCAAGGAAAACGGCTGGGCCAGGCTCATTTTGCAGATCGTTACGTCGGGAGAGAATTCCTTACTCCATTTCTTTGCCTGGCAAACAAACTCCTACTTATCCTTGAAGGTCCAGCTCAAACACCCCCGTCTCTTCACCTGTCCAGACGGGAAACAGAGGCAAAGCCAGTTCTTACAAACGGGACAAAGAAAGTCAGGTGCTCAACCAGCCTCTTGCTGCTAGCTGACGGAACTCCAGGCATGGAGAAGACCTGGGCTGACGTCCAGTGAGAGAAAATCTTCTCTACCATGCAAACCGCCTTACAGATAGAATTTGCTGCGGCACCTATTAGCACTCTTAGAATTTGCAAGTTTTCTATTTGTTTGGCTTCACTGCAGTACAAAACCCCACCTTGGCAGCACTCAACTACTTGACCGCCGCCTCCTTTCATCTTCCCACCGCCCCTCCGTCGCTCCCGCCTTCGCTCCCTCCGTCCACTGGGGACTCGTGTTGGCCCTGAAACAGGTGCGCTTCGCGGCTGCGGAGGCTCAGTCCCTTAGGAACGGCGGTGGGAAACCCTAACACAGCGGACGCCCCCACACGGAAGCCCGCACCCCGTTCTAGAAGCCGAGCGTTCTGGGGCGCCGGGGCGGAACCACGCCCCCCAGCGGCGGACGCGGGGCCGGGGGCGGCCCCCAGCGGCCTCTGCAGCCCGCGCCGCCGCCCGCGCTCCACGCCGGAACTTCTGGCGGGCGGGCTCGCTGGCGGGCCCGGAATTCCTCGAAGGGCACCGCTGCGCGCAGACTACAACTCCCAAGGTGCACAGCGGCCAGAGCAGCGTCTCCTCTACCTTGCTTCTTGGTTGTTTCGGCTCCTCACCACAAAGAGTGACTTCCAGTGGGCCGTGGATATTAATCTTACAGCGGCCGTCTGCTTCTCTGGCGGCTCAGAGCCCGATACACCTCACTGAAGGCTCCGCACTCTGCGCGTGGTGGCTCCTGCGCCGCGGAACGCGCCGTCCGACCGGCTGGGTTTCCCGGGGGACAGTGATTGCGAGCGGACGGTGTGGCGCGGCAGTTTAATTTTCCGGCGGCAGCCGAGGGAGCGGGACGCGATGGCCCTGCCAGGGCTCATCAGGAAACTCGGTAACCGTCTGAACGGACCCCGCCCTGGCCACTATCGTGGCCGGGGTCCGCCGCGCCGCGCCCCCGAGTCCGGCCCGCCCGCGATCGCTCCTGAGGGTCCTGGCGTCGCCGGGCAGAGCCGGGACCCAGCCGACGGGTGGCAGCTCGCTGCCCGCTGCCCGCTGCCCGCTGCCCGGGCGGGACATCGACCCCGCCCGACCCCGCCCGACCCCGACGTGGACCCCGGGGGCTTGGGGCGCATCCCGGCGGGCGCGTCTTTGGGGTCGAGAAATCAATCGCTGTTTCTTTGACAGGTCATCAGCTGGTCGAGATCAGGGAGCGCGCGCTCAAGAATATTCTTTGCAAGTTTGAGCACAACCTAATCTGTTGCGCGGATCTCATTCAGGAGAGACTGCTTTTCCTGCACTTGCTGGAATGGTTCAACTTCCCCTGTGTTCCGATGAAAGAGGAGGTTCTGAGCCTGCTAAACACATTGGTTAAGGTAGTTAAGGGCCTCTTTGGACTGGGGCAGGGAACCCTGTTCCTGGGGGCCCCCGACACCCCTGTTACCGCAGGACCTGTTTTGAAATAAACGAAATGATCCGAATGGGTGTTTATCATTTAATTGTAGCATTTATTGGAAAATGCTATTTAAGGCAACCATAGTTTTTCTGGGTGTATGGTGCTCATTTTCCTTGTTTCTTTTTTATACAAGGATTTAACTTTATTTATCTCTGCATACAATAACTGAGGTGTAGGCTAGAGGTGTGGGGGTGAGAGGGTTCACCAGAGACAGAGTGGGGGGCAGAACAGGAGGATCCACTGAAATACACTGCTGATGGGAGCGGCTGGGAGACAGGAGGGGTCTGCTGTGCCCTGTGGGTCACTCCCTGGCTGGGGATCAGATTCAGGCTGCAGTGACTGCTGGTGGCTTCATCGGTGCTATGACCTAACCCGCAGCATCACCAGGGAGGGCCCTCATCTTCCTTGTTTCTTATTGGTTATGTTGAATTTCACATCACCTACTTTGCTCTGAAGTGATGGAATGTTTTGACTTTTGGTATTCTCTCTGGGTGAATGTTTGTCATCCTTTTTAAACTTATGTTGTAATGTACTTCTTCATTTAAAATGTGTGTTCTGAGCTCTCCCTGGTGGTGCAAAGCATTAAAGCACCACATTTTGAAGCTCTCCGAAGCCACTGCAGCAGAAGTTCGGTCCCCTGCCAGGGGGCTGATCCCCATGGCGTTGCAGACCTCTCCTGACCTGCTTGCTGTTCCCCTCAGCAGTGTATTTCAGTCCATCTGCCTGTTCTGCTCCCCACTCTATCTGGTGAATCCTCTCACCCCCTTCACCTCTGGACTGTCCCCCAGTTCTATAAGCATAAATAAATAAATCTTTAAAAAAAATAAAATATGTGTTCTGTCCATTAAGTATAGTCTGAAACATGGCCTTAAAGTGTGTTCCCTTTCCTAAATACATCTAATTTTTATTTTTTTTATTTTATCCTAAATACATCTAATTTTATTTTTCCCATGTTTGTTTTATTTCTCTGCTTCACTCTTGAGTTATTAGTTGTCAGAGTCAAAGTACAGAATTAACCTTTCAAAACTGTAAATTACTATTCATTCATAGGGGTTCTAAATACTTTGGCATCCTGTGGCTGATGGGAGTAGAAGAGGCTGGGGTGTCAGTGGGAAAGACAGTGTACACTTGTTGGGTTCAGCGTCGGGTCTCCCTTTTTCCAAGAATAGTCAAATGTTTCATGCCCGTGTCTGAAAATCTGTGTCAAGTTAATGGAAGTTCTTTACTTTGGTGTGTCTCGTGCAAGATACATATTTTTTAAAAAAGAACATCTGGTGTGCCCAAATTGAATTTATGTTTTGATTGTTGTAAGATGAAGCTGAGGTTTCATATTTATGATTAAGCTCAAAGTTCTCTTCTCTTCTCAGTATCCTCCAGCTGTCCAGCATTTGGTTGATCTTGGCGCAGTTGAGTTCTTATCCAAACTTCGTTGTAATGTGGAGCCAACTCTGCAGGCCGAGATTGATGGCATTCTGGATGGACTGTTTATTCTTCCTTCAGAAGTTCCCACGCTATCTTCTGGACCTTACCAAACCAATCAAACTGGTAACTTTGGAATCACTTTGATGCCTTTTGTTAAAACAGAAGCATGTTGGCTCCAGTGCTTAATTCTAAGGCGAGAGACCTTAAATTAAAAGCAAACAAGCAAGATCCTTCCACACCCTTTCCTGGTGTTAACTTACCTGAGTTTGACATTTTCCCCTCCATTACTCTTATGAAGAGGGGGATGCATTTGTATTTATTTTTTGGCTCAAGAGGCGTCAAAGATATGAGTGATTTTCAGCTTGAGACTGGGCAGACAGGTTGTTTCTTTAAACTAACAGCTTTTCATCGAGCACTCATGACCGTGTGCCAGACATTATTCTAAAAGCTTCGAGTTTGCACTTTTGGGTTGAGTTCTTGTATAGGAGCCTGATAATATTTGCTCCAGCTCAGATTTTGTGATGGTATACAACTGAATTGAGATAGTGCAAATACTTTATAAACTATAGCACACAGCGGTGTAACGGTTAAAATGAGAACCGCAGGGACTCCAAAGTCCAGTCTGGTCACTAGTTGTGTGACTTTGACAGAGGTAATTCACCTCTCCAGGGCTTTAGTTTTCTCATCCCCAAGTGGGGGCAGTAAAGAAGAGCCTCTTTCTTCTAACATTGTTGTGAGGATTAAATGAGACAGTGCCTGAGACAAGTTTGGCAGACGCCTGGCGAATGTTCAGCCACAGCTGTGAGCTGCTCTGTTGAGGTCTTGTTGTTGTTTGTGCTCAGTGTGGTGTCTTGCTCGTGGAAGGCAACAACAGCAGCTGTCATTTATCAAGCTCTTGTGTGATGATTTTTTCTTTTTTTTGAAGATTTATTTATTTGTGCATACAGAACTGGGGTACAGGCCAGAGGCTCAGGGGCGGCGAGAGGCTTCACCAGAGGCAGAGTGGGGAACAGAACAGGCAGATCTATGAAGTACACTGCTGAGGGGAGCAGCGGGTGGGTCAGGAGAAGTCTGCCACACCATGTGGTTACCTCCGGGGCAGGCGGGAATTGAACTCATGCGGAAGCGGCTTTAGATTCTCAGTGCTGTGCTTTAATCCACTGCGTCGCCAGGGAGGGCCTCTTGTGTGATGATTTTTAAAAAAGATTTATTTATGCTTGCAAGAACAAGGGTGCAGGCCAGAGGTGTGAGGGATAAGAAACAGAGTGGGGAGCAGAACAGGTGGGTCCATTGGCATCCACTGCTGAGGGGAGCGGCGGGAGACAGGAGAGGTCTGCTGAGCCTGTGGGTCACTTCCTGGCAGGAGCTGAATTTGTGCAGCAGTGTCTGGCACTAGCTTGATAGTGCTGAGGCTGTAACTCCTGAGCCCTGGTGTGATGAGTTTTAATGACATGGTTTATAACTTCTAAGGCATAACAAAGTGGGACCTTAAATGGTGAATGTTCAGTCTAGTTTCTTGCAGGGAAATTTAGATGAATGTTCTAGGGTGAATTCTTAATTATTGTATTAATGGGAGAAACTGTTGGCAAGAAGCTTCCAGCAGAAAAGGCACAGAACCTAGGCTCAGCTCTTTCTTCACGTCATGGCCACGACTCCTGAGCCGCTGAATGTGTTGGCACGTGGCACAGGTGATTGCTGCGGGCGTGGAAAGGTGGTGCTTTTGTTTTGCTTTTGACAGCTTAAAAAATGATAATAAGGAGGGTTGAGGTGGCCAGATGCTCGGTAACTGGAGAGAGTGGAGGGAGCAGTGAGGAGGGTCCTGAAAGTGCATTATACCAGGCTCTTCACGCTGATGGGGGTGGCTTTATCCTAACAAAAAGTGGTGTTTACTGAACAGTAAAAGAGGGAATGAGGAGCCCCAGTTTGAACAGAGGCAGTGGTCACCTCTTTTTCCTCATTAACAAGGCTGGACGAGTCAGAGTAAAAAAAACAAGCAACTACTTTTCCGGTTTTAAAATGACTCAAACATGTAGGTGGAATCACCTTGAGAGAGTCAAGTTTTACTTGTCTCACTAAGGAATCGGTAATAGTCGTGTATTTTTTTTTTTCCAGAATTACAACCACCTGAGATGTTAACAGGGTACTTTCCCCAAGAGAGAAGTCATCTCCAGCAGCCGGTGGCACCTCCGCAGCCTGCAGGTGCGTGTGGCGGGCCGGGCCGCGGGCTGGGGCTGGGACGGGTCGTGAGGCCGCGGTGTGGCTGGCTGCGGTGTGGGACCGCTGACGGTCCCAGCGCGTGCGGCTTGTTTTGGGTGCCTGAATTCTGTGTTTTGGGGTCTGGAGTCTACAGGAAAACTGGTGTGTTTCTGAGGCACCGTCCTGAGCCGGCGGGGCTGGGGCAGCGGCGCTTGGTGCTGGCGAAGGCCAGGCCTTTGCAGGCGCTTGCGGGCCCCTGCGCCCCAGACCACCCTCCTCGGGCCGTCCTGTCCACGCACGGCTGCTCGAGGGAAGACGTCGCCTTAGAGTCTGTGGCTCGGGCCCACGTCCAGTGGGCGACACACTTCTGACCACACTCCCTCCCCGAGATCTCGCCAGGTCTCTCTGAGCCTGACACAGGGGTCGCTGCGCGCAGGCTGCCAGCGAGCTCTTCTGGCTCTGGCTCTTCTCTGACACGCTGCGTGGCCTGAGGCTGTGCCCTGCTTCAGGTGTCTGCCTCACTGTCAGTGTAGCGTGGCGTGGTCAGCGAGAGGAAGGCCAGGCCTGGGCCGGACATGGGGCCTGATCCTTTGACTGATGAGAGACCGCAGGGCGGCCTGGGGAGGCTGAGCATTAGCGTCCCCGTGTCGCTGAGCAGAGACCGAGGCTTTGAAGGGCACAGCCTGAGGCCTAGGGCAGGGGCTGGGGAGTCACGTCAGTCAGCGCTGTCTGTTTTATTGCCCGGCTGCGAGGGGAGGTGTGTGCCAGTGTGTATTCGCTGTGTCACCTGTTAAATTGAACTCAATTTGGAAGCCCTCTGGCTTTAAAAAGCTTCCTTAGAAACTCGTGGGTTGAATAGCAGCTAAAGAAAAACTAGAAAACTCCTTCAACTGGGAGCACTACTTGACCTTCCCTTTCTGGAAAGGCGCAGCCAGGCCTGTGGGGAGGAGACAGTGCGTGTCAGTGGTGCTTTGAGTCTGTGGAGTCGGGGAAGGCGGGAGCATCCTGGCGCGGGGTGACGGTGTCCACTGAGGCCCGAGACGCTGGCCAGGGCCATCTTCAGCCGTGGCAGCTGTCTGTGGGTTGGTGCTGTGGCGTGTTCTGGGCCGCGGAGGGGCGTCCTTCCCCCGCGGCCGGCTGGCTTTCCTCTAGAGGGTAAAGCTGCTTTCTTTGGCACTTCCGCAGCAAGAAGCTGCGCTGTTAATACACTTACTAGTATTGTAACCTGCATTTCACTGTCCCTGGCTCTTTTCAAAGCCTTTGGCGGGAGGCCCGTTGCCATTGGGACGGGGGTTCCCCAGATTCGCCTCTCGGTGTTGTCGCCTCACGGTGTGACCTCAGGTCTGCTGAAAGGGAATTTGAATGGCAGTGGCTAAAGCTGCGTCGGTTCTCGGGTTTCCCATGATCTCCTTTGCGGGCTGATACTTGATCCCGGCCTTCTGGCCTTCCAGTTGGCGTCAGGGAGGCGTGAACACCAGCGCCACACAGGCCGTCTGCCCGGGCTGTGCCAGGGTGGCATGTGGTGGTTTGTGCCACCTTTGCTTTTTAAGTTTAAACACCTTTTCCAAAGGCCAGTTCCCCTTGTGTTAAATTTAAGCTCTGCACTGATCTGCAATGGGGTGAAAAAGAGTGTTTAACCAAAACTCGAAATGCCCCTCAGCACAGCCTTGTGGACAGCGCTCTTCAAGTAAGGAAGCCTGAGTCCCGTGGCCCCGCGGGAGAGCGCCGTCTCTCGGGGCGGGGCGAGTCGGCAGCCGGCCTGTGCTGTGCTCAGGGCTCCTTGTAGGCCCGACGTGTAGCAAACGGGACGCGTGACTCTGGCCGTGACTTGCTCCAGCTGGTAACCTTCGATGCCCTCACTTCTGCCTTCCACCGACAGCCACCCAGACTGCGCAGTGCTTGAAGTTCTCCACGTTTCCTTGGCTGGCCCTGACCACCACCGACAGACACGTGCTCTCCTCCAATGAAAGGTGCGGGCGCTGTCCTGGCTCTCACCCGTCCCCTGAGAGCCACACCGAGCGTTTCAGCAGGGTGAAGGGGCTGTGTGCGAGGGAGGGCGAGGGCTAAGGGGTGCTTCCTGATTCAGCAGCACGCTGGAACAGCCCTTTGCCTTTCATCCAGATGCGCTTCTCGCGCTTGGAATCCCCACGCCCTCGGGACGGGACCGTCCTGCCCAGCAGATTCTCTGCGTGGGTGTTGTGTACGCCCTTGGTTACTACAAGTCTAGTCTAACGCTAGGCTTAAGGGCAGTCTCTTCAGGAGATAATCTGTTTTAAAATATGGACTCGTAGAAAATCTGTGCATCACTTCGAGGAGGTTGGGAGCCACTGACCTCGTTTCCTGTGGTGTTGGCTGTTACCTGCGACAGTGGATCACTGATATATAGACGACTGGAGAGTGTGTTCACGTCTACAGCCCACTGCTTGCTGGGACTTTAATTTCAGTGAATGAGTTGACTTTTTTTGGAATCTGGAAAATAAAGACCCACTTCTAGGTTAGGGCAGGTGCAGGCGGGTGGGCAGGGTTGAGGGGCTTTGAGGGTGCACAACAGTCACCATCAGGTCTCGTGGCGCCACTCCCCGGAGAGGCTGAGTGCCGGTTCCCGAGTCAGCCACACTGCTGGTGCCTGCGCCGGGGTCATGGCGGGTCGGGGTGGAAGCTGGGCTGAGAGAAGAGGGGTGGGGAGGGCTGCTGTTGTGTCCCTGGGAGGGCACAGAAGGTCGGAGAAGCTGGGTGATGTCTTCTGTGCAGAACAAGGGGTGCGGGCTGGTTCACCCAGGTAGGGAAAAGCAGTAGGGAACTGGCTTTCTGGAATTTAACTTTGATGGACTTTTTTTTTAATTTAACTCTGCACTCTACATTGCAGTTCTATTATTATAAAATAGTACCTAAAAATTCAAGAAGAATCTGTCTTATAAATTTACTTCTGCCCTGCTCTTCTGTCTTGTCTTAGTCATTCAGCAGGTCCCATTGAATTCCGTGCCCTTGGGCCTCAGTGATGTCACTCGTAGCACTTCGGCATCGGGGGAGGCCATGTGTTCCCGGGGCGGAGGCAGGGTGGCTGCGCTCCTCCGCCAGGCTGGAAGGACCTTGGGGGCCGGGAGCCTCGGCGGGTGCCGGGCGGGCTGGCTTGTTGGCGACTCTGGGCCACGTGGCATCGCTGTTGTCAGCCCTGTGGAAACCAGCGCCGCTGTGTTTTGTAGCTCGCTGAGAAGCAGCAACCACACTTTGATCTGGAACACCTGTGAACTGCTGAAGGACGTCATCATGCAAGATTTTCCCGCTGAGATCTTCCTTCAGAGGCCGAAGATTGTCCAGGTGCGTGACCTCTGGGGCTTCCAGATTTTGAAGTGGGGACTATTTTGCGATTGGACACATTTTGCGGAGCGGGAGCCTTTGTGAAGGAAACGCGCACGACTGAGCCGTGTGGTTCTGGGCCGACGTCCCCCTCGGGTGGTGGGGGTCTGGCCGGAGCCCTCGGGGCGCGGTGGCGCCGGCCGTCTGACCGCCCGGCTGGGTGGCTCCTGCCTTCCGGGTTTGCTCAGGGGCGGCAGTGGGAGGCGCAGTGCCGGCCGCCTCTGTGAGGACGCCTTGGCACCGGGCGTGCGGCCTGGTTGGCACCCGGGCCGGCCTGCGGCGCACCCCAGCACCGGGCAGCCCCCGGCCGCACTGCGCACGGGCTGGCCTGGCCCGGTGGGAGGTGGCTGTCAGGGCGGCTGTGGCCGAGGGACTGTGGCCGAGTGCGGGCAGGTGCCACGGCGTGGTGCCTGGAGCTGCGCAGGCCTGCTGTGCGTCCAGAAAGCCCTGTGTGACTTCAGGCCCCGGTGGGCAGGGCCCGCGGCCTCTCAGAGCGGGTGTCCAGCTGGCCACTTTCAGAAAGTGGCTCTGCTCGCCTCCCACTGCCTCGGCAGGCCGCTGCGTGTGCCAGCCCCCACTGCTCTGGCTCCTCGTGGCTCGGGCGGCTGCCTCGGCTCCTTTCCCTTGGTCGCCCGCCACGTGGGTCCGCTCCGCGCTGGCGTCAGCCTCCACCCTCCCTTCCAGAGCCTGGTGTCCCTGCTGAAGCTGGCCTTCGGAGGGGGCGGGAAGCACCGGCTGGCCCTGCAGTCCCTCGCCTGTCTGCAGCAGCTGTGCACGAGCCTGAGAAACAGGCTGAACTTCCACCGAGACCCGGGCTTCTTCTCCAGCAAGCGAGGTACTCCGCCCTGCCCCACGCACTGCCCCCAGCTGCGGGCTCTCCGCACGGCGCCCCCACGGGCGACCAAGCCCCCGGAGGCGAGCGGAGAGGGCGGCCGCCCTGCCCCTGCGGCCTGAGGCCCTGCCTGGCGCATGAGGCGCCTCCGCAAGGCGCCGCTTTTCCTCCCAACGTCCAGCCGGGAGGCAGCGCCGGGCCCTGGCATTTGTGCAGGCCGCGGTGCATGTCGGGTGGCTGCGTCATGTTTGAAAAACACCCGTTTGTGTTTTCTGGAAACTGTTTATGCAACCTGTGAGGTAGTCAGGGTGTTAGGAAGGCAGTGCCAGGCTTTGCAGGGCACAAGCAGCACCTGGCGGTCAGGCGCCCCCGCTGGCCTTCAGAGGCGGTGTTTGCCCCCAGGGCTCTGCGCTCACTTGTAGGCCTTGGATACTCAATCACAGGCATTTGTCGTGAGCCTTCACCCTGGCCCCTATGTTTTTTTTTTTATTTGTTTGAGTTTCATGGATCCTATGTTACGTGAGTATTTGTGCTTTGTATTAGCTTTATTGTAGCTCGAGCTCAGGCCACAGGCTGCCTCATTACTGTTGTTGACAGAGAGCATGCTGCAAATCACTGATAATGGGGAGCTGCCGGCACCCCATATTTTATCAGAAAAAGAATTATAGTGTTGTTCAGAATACATGAGCCTCCCAAAGATTTACTTAAGCATAAAGTAAGTACTTATTTATCGCTGTGTACGCCAGCTGATAGTCTAGTCTGGGTGTTGGACACAGAGCGGAGCAGACTGGCCCAGCCTCTCTGTTGGGGGCCGGCAGTAAACAAGCAAACCCCTTGTTTCAGATAAGGAGAGGCGCTCGCAGGAAATAGGGGTGACAGCGGGGGAGGGGGAGCTGGGGGCGGGGCGTGGGCGCAGAGGGGCGCGGGAGGGCGGAGGAAGCCCGGCCACGAGGACTTTGGGCCTGTGGGTCTTGGCAAAGGTTTCCTTTGCACATTATTTTACCTAATTCTTTTAAAAAAGTATGATCGAGTAAATCATTCAAGCCACTTCTCAGTGTTCGGTCGGGGGCAGTAACTACGCCTCTGTCACGCAGCCGCCCCGTTAGCTGTCTCTGCCCACTGGACACTGCAGCCAGAGCGTCTCATCGCCTGCCCGCGCCGTCTGTGCGGCGCAGGTCCTTTCCCTCACCGCGCAGGCCGCGGCTCCCGGTGGCGTCTGCGAGCGAGCAGCGTGTTTAGTTCCGGTTCAGTCCAGTTCGCTCACGTTCTCGGCCACGTGTGGCACCCGCTGGAGACGGTGACCCTGCACTTCCCCTGGGCTCACTCCACCTTTCGGCGTCAGGGCGGGCGGCGGCCAGCGCCCAGAGGCCTCCCGCAGGGCTGCTGGTCCTGTGGGCCAGAAGCTTCCGCGTCGTCAGCGTGGCGACACTTACGCCCAGATGCGCTGAGCAGATCCTGGCAGAGAGCTGCCCGTCCCCTGCTCCGGAAGCGCGTCCACCGCGCTCTGGGCGAGGGACTCGGCTGCGGGCTCGGTCACCCCTCTGGCCTGAGGCTTCGTTTGTTTATTTTCCAGATACAGTTTCCCAGAATTCTTCTCTGTCTTACTGTCACGAAGTGAGAGCCGCTCATCCTTCCCAGAACCCTTCCCCGGGGAGCAGCAGCCCCCGGCCGTCCGTGGTGGGGCGCACGGGCCAGCGCCCCAGAGGAGACGGCCAGGACTGGGATGCGGTGTCCTCCAGGTGACCCCGACAAGGCCGGAAGGCGTGAGCGCGTGTGTGGGCGTCAGAGGGAGGGCATCGCTGTTTTCTGACTTTGAAGCGCCGCCACAGGTGTCTGACCTGGCTAGCCTGGGGCCGGCCCCGCTGCTGTGGCCGCGGGCCCCGTGGGCAATGACCACTCAGTGCTGCTGGGCCTCGGCCGGCCGCGCCTGCCGGGTGTGCCCCCGCGCACGCCCACCAGTGTGCCGCCATCACACCGACGCTCTGGCTCCGCTGAGCGATGCTGGCTGTTGTTTCCCTGCCACTGAACTAAAGAACTCGGGCCCACCGCCCAGTTTCTCCCAGCCGCGAGTGGAACGCCGTCCAGATAAGAGCGTAACTGGGAAGATGCAGCTCGGTAACACTTTCGGTCGTCTGTGTCAGAGCCATCATGACGAGATGCAGCCTCATTTACCGTTCGGGGACGCCCCTCGGCGTGGGCGGTTGAGGCATCTCGTTTGTTGTGTAAACACAGGTTTCTGCGAGGCCTGGCGCGGCTGGCATGGCGTGGGGTGATAGTTGCGTGCCCCCTCCTCTGGGCCCTGCAGCTGTGAAAGCGACTGGCCGCCTCCTCGGGGTCACTTGAGCGCTGGCTGCTTTCTGGGGCGCTGCGCAGCCGTCACGCCGGGCGCTCTGCGAGCCGCCTTGGCCCTGCGCTAAGGCTCCTGCCGGGACTGGCGGAACCGCCCTCACTCCGGAAAGCCTGCGTTTGGAGAGGCGCCGACCTGCCCCCGTTCGTCGGGGAGTCAGGGAGCAGGGCGGGTTTGCACAGCTCCCCCCCCCCCCCCCCGCGGTCCTGAGGGAAAAGCTTCCTCGTGGCCTCTTGGAGCTTGCGAGCAGCCGGGGCCTCGGCCAGCCCCTGGGTGCCGGTGACGATGCGGAGAAGCGGAGTTGTTCTTGCTCAGTGATGTCACCGCATCTTCGTGACTCAGCGTCAGAGTGGGTGACTTTAATAGTCACTGTTAGTGAGGATCATCACAAATGGGGGGTTCAGGTCTTTCTATAGCACTGTGCCCCCACCCCCCCCAGCCCTCACATTTTGCCTCCCGTGAAAATTTACGAAGAAAACCAAGAAAGAGGTGATGCTCCATTTGGGGGCTTTTTCAAAAGCCTTTATGTGCTGCTCAGTGTGCTGAGTAATCAGTTTCTCATGTTTGCTGGCATTTTCTTTAGTTTGCGCACAGTGGCTTACTTAGGGCGTTTGGTGGCGATCTAGGAAGCGAGGTCAGCTCGATAGCTTTGCCTCGGTCAGTTGGTTACAGCAGAACTTTGCTGCGAACCCTCCGCTCCCCTTGAGAGAGGGCGGTCGCCAGCGCTGCCTGGGAGAGGCGGCGCCTGGAAGTCCGGTTTCAGAGGCGTGTAGGCTCCGTTCATTCCGCGGCCATTCGGGCGTCTCTGTGGAGCCTACTCTCACAGGTCTGTCGGGCCTCAAGAAGCCTGGTGGGCGCTGACGTGTCAGCAGCGAGGCCGGGCCCAGCCGCGGCCCCGTGAGCGGCCGCTCGGCCTGGCCTGCTGAGGGCTGCCGTGTGTTCACCCGCAGCGGGAGCAGCAGCCGCGCCCTCGCGAACTCCCGGATCTCCGTGCCCTCGCCGCTGGACCTGGCGCAGGTGGACCTGCCGGAGCTGGAGGCCGAGGACGCCCCGGAGCTGCAGCTGCAGCAGCTCAGCCTCGCCCAGTTCTGCGTCTGCGTCCTGGAGTCGGCCGTGCCCCTCCTGAGGACAGGTGAGGGGCCGGGGCGCGGCTCGCTTCGCGAGACTCGGGTTGGTTTGCTCGCCGCGGCTCTTCTTTTCCTCTTTTCCACCTTCTGTCATGGCAAGTGCAGACTGTGCGTGCTTGCCTTTGGGATACCGGCTCCTAGCAGCTCAATAGCGTGTCTGTTACCTCCATTAACCGTGGACGCCACAGGCCCCTTCAGGCAGGCCCTCTGGTCAGCCCCTTACCGCGCAGCCCCCCGCCGCGCGCCTCTTCTAAATGTAGGCGCCGAGAAACGAGGCCAGTGCCCTGAGTTGGCGGAGGTGGACCAGCACGAGTGGACCGGGGGATGGAAGCTCTGGCCACCGCCCTCGTGGGGCACCCTCAGCTGTCACTGGTCCCGCTCCGGCCCGCCCAGGTCTCACTGGAGCGGCGAGCGCGTGAAAAGCAAACGTAAACCCCAGACAGAGTCTTACCTTTGCCGTCACTGCTTTTCTTAAACAACAAACCCAGAAATCCCTCGAGAAACCCAAACATTCTGGAGTGACATTCTCTCAGGTGGGCAGGTCGGTCGGCGAACACGTGGCGAGCGCCTGCGAGAAGGGAGCTCGCTCTAGTGAGGAGGGTGCTGGCAGGAACCCCAGACCAGCGGTCACTTGGCCGGGTGCCCGCCCCGCGGCCTGCTCGCCTTGTCGTGCCACACGTCACCCCGCCCCGCCCGCCCCCCGAGCTGGCTGCCACCCTACCCGCATCTTCTGGATAAGCAAACAGCTTTAGGAAGTTACTCAAAGCAGGCAGCCAAGAAGGTTCTCCCAACGCCTCGCCCAGTGTCCGCAGCCCTCGGTGAAGAGGGATTTGCAAGTGGTGATTTCTCTTCTCAAAAGCTCGTCGTTTTCAGTGGCCGGTAAACTTGTCAGGATATCAATACGAGATGGGTGAGTTTTTCCTTTTCTGTTTTATGCTGTTAGAGTAAAATAATTACTGCACGCGTGGCTCTTTGGTCTTGTGGCTATTTTCTGCTTGCTTGGAAGGGGCGGTCAGCGAATCAGGTGCCTGGGTGTTTGGGAAGCACAAAGAGAGTTTTTTTCTGAGGAAAGCGGTGTACTTCATTTCTCACGCGTGCGTGACTGCCCCTGGGAGCTGGGAGTGTGGATTCCTTCAGGGACTAATGCTGGACAATAAAGGAAGAACTGAACTTTGGTGCCATAAAGTATATGTGTTTGTCTGCCTGGTATCCTGAAAAGAACAGTTTTAGGTGTAATGATTTTGCATTTAACCTTTTCGTAATTTGCTGTAAAAAGTCAGATTGATAATTACGAAGCTCTCTTGGTACATAAAAGTTTCTAAATGTTCCCTTGCCCTTTTGCGGTAAATTGCTGCATGGTTTGTCATCATTCAGCGTCGCAGGAGACTCCTGAGAGAACTTGCTCCAGCTGTTCTGATGGCACAGCCCAGGCCCTTGTGGGCTGGTGGTTTGCTTTATTTTCACTCGTTAGAGCTTGACCTCTGCTGTGTGGGCCGGGGGAGTCTCGCGGCAACGGCGGGGAGAGCTCCGGATCTCTGACAGTTCGGGATCGCGGGCTTCCCTGTTGCCCGCCAGTCTCTGGAGGAGAGACTGCTCCCGCGGCCTCCCTCCGGCCGTTTCTTTCTTTTTTTTTTTTTATTACAAAGTTTATTTTTACATCATTTTGCACATTTTTTTTTTTCCATCTCGATTGTAATCCCCGCGGGTTTCCCATCACCAAATCACCCCTGTGCCACCACCATAGTCCCGTGCATTTCCCTCCCTTC